AACTTGGCAACATGAAAACAACAATCTCCAACTAAAATAATCTTAGAGAAGCATAATAATCTTAGGGTCTGCATATAGAAACAAAATTCTTAGACATATGTTGTATTCTCAAATCAAACAACATAGAGATTATTAGAAAACCTAAGATAAGAGAGAAAATTGATGGATGAATTGAGAGTGAAAAAGAGAGGAAGCGAACCGTTGAAATTGAAGGAGAGATGTAGATCCATAATCTACTTGGAGGAGGAGGAGGAGGAGTGTTTCTTGGAAGAAGAGTAGTCGGGAGGAGAGTAGATCAGAGCAGCCACCATGGCTCCAGGAAGCACTGCATACTTTGCCAGGACTGCCAGTTTCGCCACCAGCGATTCTCCCTTCATAAACGCCATTGATGATGATTGATTGATTGATTGATTCTGAATCAACTACTTCTTCTTCTACTGCTCTGCTACTCGACTCGGATCGGAGGACAACCCAATTGAGAATATGACTGATGCCTCTGTTTCCACTCATTTTCTAAGAATGTCCCTCAAATTTAACTGTAAATTTCACATCTAGAAACTGCTCTAAACTATTTTTAAACTACTGTAAATTGTTTTAAAATTCGACCCATCTTCAATTAGACCGAAAGTGTATAGCAACCATTTTTAAATTGTTTTAAAATTCAACCCATCTTCAATTCGACCCATCTTTATAAATAACAATAAAACCGAAAGTGTATAGTAATTTCATATCAATATCATGGGACTTTTATTACTCCCAAACAGACCTCTGTATTAGACCAATTTCTATACACCAAAACTTGCATCAATGTACACTGAAACAATGACATCGAACACAAACAGATAATTAATCCTATAAAATTTTACTCATCATCAATTTTGATAACAACAACAATAAAAATTGCAAAACCCAGATGAGGAAAAATCGAGATTAGCTTTTTGAACAAAACCCAAAACCTAATTGCAATTAAACATTGTATCGTCGAAGTAAAAACTCAGATCTTGCCAAAGTAAAACAATCAAAATGAAATGTGGGTTCTGAGACAGAGAGAGAGGACCTCGAGTTGGGTAGATTTCATGGCGATGGGGATGTAGATGAGCAAGATACCAGCCATGGCGATGGTAGTGTTGCGCTTCCAGTGCTTGGGTTGGTTGTGATCTCACCGAAGACCATGACCATGTTGGTTGTTGTGCACGTCTCATAGGCAACTTTGCTTTCCAGATCTTGTTCTCGGCAAGCATCCAGAATTGCATCTGAGACTTGGTCACAGAGCTTGTCAAGGTGGCCTTCATTGACAGATTCCGTGGTGAAGAGAAAGGTTTCCATATCTAGACTTACGCAAATGATGAAGCTATGTGTTAGTTCCTCGTTATTAGATGTGGAATCGTTAAATTTTAAAGAATGGATTCCACGTAACGTATAAATATAATGCAAAAAAGGAAAGCACAATGAAAATTATACTGGTTGAAAAACACTATCTAATCCATTGACTGATCAGTAACCAACAATTATTTCAGTTCATATGCTGCTTCTAATTCAAAGGTAGCTAAAAATGGATGTAAAAAGATACACTACGAAATGAATTCATTTCATTGTGTATTTGCATAACTTAAATAAAAAAATAAAAAATAAAAAATAAAAACAAACAAACAAACAAACAAACAAACAAAATAATCCGTTATGTATCACAAAAGTCTGCAGTAATACATACCCAAAAAGACAGTCTAATTTTAACTCAAACTTACTGGATTTATAATAGCGAGAGATTCATGCCTTTCTAATTGTTAAAAGAATCTTCCAAGTAGTTGTACTGAGAATCTTGATCCGACTTCGGTGAGTCTGTTCCTTCAATTTTCTTGGCACATGCAAGAGATTTAATTGCATAAGAAAATACCAAATTCTGTTCAATCCCATCATTCTCAAACTCACTTTGACTTTCATATGATTCTTCCATTACAGTGCTTCTTCCCTGAGAACTTAATTGCCAATGTCAAAACCCCTCTATTTATTCTCAATGCAGCCTATGATTCATGGCAGGTAATATCTTGTTTCTGTGGAGGTTGCTAAATTTAGTTCACCTGGAGTTTCACTCATGCAGCAAGACAACTGACAATGGCTTGCTTTGTTACTGCTTTTAAGCATGTTAAATGAAAAACTTGATACATTAGGTCTCTTCATTTCGCAATTCAGGTCTAGGCCAGTTTAGCTCCTGCATCAGCTGATCCTAATGGCATTTGGCGTGACTGCAAAATGAATCATGCAAGTTGTTCAGAATCACAGATCCAGAAATTTCTGCAAGGTGGTTTCATATTACAGAAATTACTCAACTGGCATGACTATTAATAAATTTGATTAGCTTTCTTAAAAATGTAGTATAGAAATTTCATCAATTGATTAAAGATTTTGTATATTCTTTGGAGCAGACTTCAGAAATCATATCTTAGAAGGATTCTCAACGTCTAAGGAAAATGGGTTATTCATAAATTCATGTTTTGCTCACTGCCAAACAGAGAGGCAGGATACATGGTTTGCTGATGATTCACCTCTTGTTGGCAATAAGGTACAGTTGATGTGTGGTTACTATGTATTAGTTCTATTGAATATTAGTATAGATTTGTAATAAGAACCTAACAGATTCTAAGTTTGGAAAACAAAATACTTTCCATTTACAAATACTTTTTTATTTATAAAAATAGATCAGATTGTTTGAATACTAAATAAAAAAAAAATCAAACTTTGAATACAAACTTTGAATAATGTTCGGATTAGAAAATAATGTTAGGATCAAAGAGATACAAACCAGAAATCGAGATGCAGAAATCAAAATTTGAATGAACACATTTGCTATGAATCTGTTAGGTTTGAATGAACACATTTGCTAGAGAATCAAAGATCAATCAAAAAGTATGGTCGCGACCGCAATGGCCGTGAAACGCTCTGATCTGACTCGAGTTTCTTCTCCGAATCTAATGGATTTTGGTTTGATTTCCTTCGCCAAGACGGTGGTTATTCGATCCGCGAATGGCGTACCTGGAAAATTCATCAACAAAAGAACCAAAAACAAAACAATTAAGCCGTACCTGGAAAACCAATCGCTGCCTCTTCGATAGAGAAGAAAAGTGTGAAGAAAATGTCGTTGGTCAAGTATAGAGGGAGAGGTAAGGCATTAGAGGCTTTTGGGATGAGGAGGAGGAGGATCGGATCTGAGAGCAGATGTGTTTTAGCTAGACGTGGGAGAGAGAGCAAAGAGTTGTTTGGGCGGGAGATCTATTGATCTGAGCCATTGAGATGAACTTAGGATTCATCTCTCATACATTTGGGACATTTTCAAAAACAGTCCTCCCTTATTATATAGATATTGATAATCTCAATGTTACTGTTACTGTTACTGTTACTGTTCCTTAATACAAAATTATGAGATAATTATGATAATTTTAAATTTGTATTTAAAACTTATAAATTATGGAATGGATTATTATAATTTTAAATTTATATTGTGTCAATTTTAAATTTTAATTAATACATTGCTTTCCATATTTAGTGACAATTTAAATTTTAATAAAATAAAATTTAAAAGTTTTTATTAATTAATTTTTATGTAAGCTAGTTGGTCTTTTGACCTAACTAATTAAGCTAAACCATATTTAGTTTGAATGATTTGTTAGTTTAACCGTGATTTTAGCGGTTTTAAATATTACGACGATTCTTTCTTACTTAATAAGTTTTTAATTTTTTTTAATTATTTCCCTTTCAAAAACCAATATGATAATTTTTGAAAATTCATATATTTATATTATAAAATAGTGAAATATTATAATTATGTCATTTTTTTTTATAATAAAGTGTAATTTTAATTATTAATTGTCAATACAACAATTTTAATCTATCTATATTATATGTTATGGTAAAAAAACATTAAAACAAAATGCTTATATTATATATAAAGTTTTATTTACGGAGATAAAATATAAAAAAATTAAATATAACTACCATATTTTTAATAAATAATATATTATTTTATCCTATAAATAACGGGTCATATACTAATCTATGCTATATATTAAGCAAAAAAGGGTTTTTAACCCCAAGCCTTGTGGGAGCTTCAATCTCCCAATCTAAATTTCCTGATTTTTTGGTTTTAAAAAAAAAATCTTAGCATTTATTAACTTCTTCTAACTCCCAAGTCTTACCCTCATAATAACACTTTAATGCATTAAGAACAAGTATAACAAAAATTCTTTGAAATCCAACACATATGAATTCTTTGAAAAGTCTCAACACATATGATTATATCTCTCATAATAACAATTTAATGCATTAAGAACAAGCATAAAAAAAAATTATTGAAAAGTCCAACACATATGATTATTATCAAAATATTAAACTTTAATATAATATAAAAAAACAAGATATTTAATTCATTGAAAAGTTCAACACATATGATTATTATATTGAACTTTAATATAATATAAAAAAGAAAAAAGCAAAAGAAGACATTTAAAAAAAAAAGACATTTAAAAATCATAATTCACATATATATCCCATGATCAGCATTTATTACATTTTTTCAATCCACATGTCTTTTCACATGCATGAATTTATTGATTTGGTCAAAATTGTCTAATCAGCATTTAAAATACCCTCATACAGATAATTATAGATACAACCCGTGCATAGTTACTGCAGTACCCTTTTTAATTTCTCCAATACACTATGGTTAGTGATAAGATTGTTAAATTAGTATTATAAAAAATCTTAAAAAACATAATTTATATACTAAAAAAATTTAAATAAATATAAATATTTATAATTATCCCGTGCATAACACGGGTGATAGGTTAGTTATATATTAAGCAAAAGGGAGTTTTTAACTCCAAGTCTTGTGGGAATTCCAATCTCCTAATCTAAATTTCCTGACTTTTTGATTTAAAAAAAAAAAATCTTATCATTTAATTCCTTGAAAAGTCCAACACATATGAATTCCTTGAAAAGTCTCAACAATTTCGATCTTTTGAAGGGCAAGATATGTACAATGGGGAGAAGATTGTCCCCATCAAGGTATGTCTTAGTTATCACATAATGCTAGTTGCTTTTTTTTTTTTTATATATATATTTATCTTGCTGAACTTTCTTCCTTCTGATATTTGGTCATTAACATCAAGGTTATGAGTGGTGTCGATTGACCCCACTCAACTTTGAAAAATATTTAATACCTACATAGTGTCATGCAAAATTTTAGGGTGATTCCATAAATTGACTCCATAGAATCGTTTACATATATATAGATATCCTTTTTCTTAAATTGTTGATCTATACATGATTCATTTAGGCAAATTATCAAACACTTAGTGATCTATTCAACCAATTTCCAAACAATCAATCAATTGACCAATTCATGATTTGATCTCTATCAATTCACGGGATTTTAACATGGGAAACCTCCCAGTTGAGATGAAAACCACCAGCCAATGGCTACAAATCAATCCATTGTATAACCCAGTGTTATTAAAGGCGCGCCTAGGCATGTGTCTAGGCCCAAGTCCCATCCAGGCCCAAGGTTTACGCCTCGTAGTGTTCCAGGCCACGCGACTTCAATAAGGCGTGTGCCTAGGCCCAAGTCCCATTTAGGCCCAAGGTTTGCGCTTTGTAGTTTCCAGGCCAAGCGACTTTGATAAGGCACACGACTGGTCCAAGGTGCAGTAAGGCCCAAGTCTTGAGGGCTTTTTTTATTGTTACTTTAATTGGTTTTTTTTAAAATCTGACTATTGATTTAAGATGATGCAGCTATAAAAGATCCCTACTCTTATTACATTTGCCAATTATAACCGAATGATTACAAAAGAGGTGTTACAATGAGACGGCGAATCATATCGTTTAATTCCAAGTCCTTTTCTTACTAGGATATTCTTGTGCAATGTGACCATACCCTTGACCTTCATAGCATTAATTCCAAGTCCTTTCCATTCTTCTCAGTTTTAGAACCAATTTTGATCTTGTCATTGCTTCTGTTCTTTTCTTTTGAGTTGATTCTCTGAGAATAATCTTATTTTTTTGATTATTTTTTTGAATTGCTTTATAATTAGAATCATCATCTCGGGATCAAACTCAATTTATCATTGGACTTCTTTGCATCCCATATGAGAAATTGAAAGCAACACTCTTTTGTTTCTTAGATAGAAGCAAATTAGTCACATAATTTTTTTTTCCTCCGGTAGAATAAAAGAATTTCATTAAAAGAGAAAGTTTACATAGTACAGACCAAGTGAAGCCAAAAACAAAACATAAAAGCCAGACCAGAAACTGGCCATGGTAGCAAGCATCAAGGCTGAGACAAATCAGTATCCCTAGCGGAGGAAAATTAGAAGCTATGTAGAGTGCTAAGCCAGGATAAAATGAAGTAGTCCTTCACGGGCTAGAGAATGAGCTGCCTTGACTTCCAACTGCTAAATTTTTGAGATACAATCTCCTCCAAAAGAAAATGGTTGCCTATCTATCACAAGTTACTGTTGAAAGAATTATTTTGAAACAATCAGTAACCAATCGACTGCCTATCGATCTCAGCATTTTGTTTGAAAATCAATTTCAAGCGATGAAAATCAATTTCAAGCGATCCTTGACCGATGGATCACCTTTTGATCACTTGTCACTGTTGAAGGTGGGATTGATTGCTCTTAAGAGGGATTGATCGCCAGGATAAGGCAATAGAGAATTAAGTGGGAAATCCACCCGAGGAAGAGTGACCATTACCCACCCACCACTTAACTCCCTGGTTGATCAGATCCGTACCATAAAGGTGTCTTTTCCAAGCCCATGAGGAGCCGGAAGAAGCATTTACATGGAGTAGATTATAGTGAGAGCAATATTTGGGGACTTTTGAGATGGATAGATTCGGGTTAGAGAGTAACCTCCAGCATTGTTTGCCCAAGAGAGCTTGGTTCATAAGGTGAAAATCCCAAAGACCAAGTCCCCCCTCCATCTTTGGAACACAAAGAATGAACCAATCCAACCAGGAATTTGGTTTTTTGTCACTAGTGCTCCACCAAAAGGATGAGATGTAGGATGTGAGGTTATCACAAAGACCAAAAGGAATTTTGAAGGTGGTACAAAGGGAGTTAGGTAAAATAGAAAGAATAGATTTAACCAACAGTAGCTTTCCAGCTTGAGATAGAGTAAGTGCTTTCCACCCTTGAAGCTTCTTGTGAAAAGTAATCTAAAATGTAACGGAAGCACTCTTTTTTGTTAGAAGCAACTCTAAGAGGGAGCCTGAGGTAGTGATCTGCAACCTCTTTGAGAGGGACAGGAAAGAAAGCCGTGAATAAACGTGTGAACCAATGAGGGACATTAGGGCTGAAGATAATGTATGACTTTGGAGAATAACACATTGCCTCGAGACATGACTAAAGCTTTCTTTGGCATCACAGAGGACAACACAACTTTGAATAGAAGGTTGATTCCAACACAGAGGTTGGATGAGTTAAGGTGATTAAGGTAACATGAGAAAGCCTCAAGAAAAGGAATAAATAGATTAGGTGAGAGGGGATCACCTTGATGTAGGCCTCATAAGTTTTAAGATTACAAACCAATTGTTCCACATCGAGTTTGTCAATGTTTTAGATTTTTTCTATTGCGGTAGCCTTTGGTTGGAATCTTTCCGGCAATGATCTCAATTTTTCTAACCACCTTTTCTCTTTGGTATTTTCTCTCCTAGGTTGAAACTTAAATTGACAATGTCGCTCAACTTGGCATGAATGTCAATCAAAGAACTCATTTTCTCCCATCCTTTGAAACTTAAATTGACAATGTCACTCAAATTGGCATAAAAATCAATCAAAGAATTCATTTTCTTCCTACCTTAAGGTTTCAAAACTAGTAGTGAGCTTTTGATGTTTGAATGCTTAATGGTTTGGGTGTCTTCACGAGTAACTTGCAAGATATCCCATGTTGCTTTTGTAGTTGCACATGTGCAAATTTGTTGAAATTGTTCTGGTGCGACAAAACAAAAAAGAGCATTGATAGCCTTGCTATTCAAATCACAATTCTATTAATCAACTTTGTCTTATTGATCAACGGGTTTAGAAGTTGTCACACCTCTATTAAGGTGAGGGTGCCCTGACGCTTCTATGCTTAATATTACTTTAGTACTCAGTCGATGTGGGACTTTGCTTCATACGAACCTCAGCCCAATGTGCTCACTTGACGGCACCTGTGGCTTGTAGGCCAAGGACACGCATCCTGCCCATCCCCTACCATGTTACACGGTCTTGGATAGAACTCACTCCCAAAAGTTGGCTATTAAGGTGAGGGTGCCCTCATGCTTATATGCTTAATATTACTTTAGTACTCAGGCGATGTGGGACTTTGCTTCACAACACCATCCTTGGTAAGAGTAGGTTGTTTCCGTCCATGCACAACGGATTGCCAAACTTTATCATCAATAGCTTTTAAAAATGCTGTCATTTTAGCTTTCCAATGTGAATAGTTGGGAACCCTCAAGGAGCTGTGGTTTGACAGTTAAATTGCCTTCTTTTATAGAATCCATAAATATATGAATGAACTGGATTTCACTCGTGGAGCTTTGAAAAACAAAGAATGAGTGACTCGCTATGATACCCAATTGAAAATCCCTTTTTCTTAAATGGTTGATTTATACTTGTGATTCAATTAGGTAAATCATCAAACACTTGATCAATTCAAGCGATCTCCAAACCAACCAATTAGTTGATTAATTCGTGATTAGATCTCTATCAATTTCCAATTGAGATGAAAAACAACGGTCCAAATGCCACAAATCAATCCACTGTATAAACAAATGATTACAAGAGAAGTCTAGAATTGAATGGTGAGCTTCACCCAACGGACTTAGGGTTTTATAGCTGCATCTGTGTTCATTTCTCTCCTAGGGATTGATCCAAGAACACTGCCGAATCCATGACAGTCAAGCCGCATCTGGAATCCACCTAAAGTCTTTGCTCTTGCCTTTTGGAATCCACCAAGTCTTCATTGTTGGATGTGAATTTGATGAGGAAATACGTTTAAGATAGTCAAACCATGCTTGGTGATCAAGAGATAATGTACTCTTCTTCAAGGATTGAGTAATTCTCTTACTAGACCAGTTCTGAGGAGTTTTTGCATATCTATAGAGTGAAACTGAAGGGCTTAGATTTGAAATTGATCATGATCTGCACTTTTCTAACCAACTTAACTGATTGAGACTGCTCATTTCGTCACTTCATTGCTTGATCGATGAATTCAAACTCTTAGTCTATGATGCACGGACACGGACACGGACACGGACACGGACACGACACGGATACGGGAAAAAGCAAATTTTCAAAAAATAGGGGACACGACACGCTAGGGACACGTTCAATATATATAATTTTATTTATTTATTATATGTAAAATTAAAAAATATAAATATTATTTATTTATTTTAATATCAAATATTATTCACAAATTAAAATTTTTCTATAAATAAAAATAATTTATTTAAGCAAATAATAATATCTAAAAAACAGAAAAAAAGAAAAGAGAAAAAAAAAGATTTTTTTTGTTCAAATATATATCTATATTAGTATATAAATATATCTGTATATATATTAGTATATAATATATATCTATATATATTATCAGAAAAATAAAATAGAAAAAAAAATTGAAGACAGAAAAAGAAAATAGAAAAAAAAAATAGAAGAGAGGGGGGGGGATCAACATCACTCAGTATATAAAAGAAAAAAAATAAAAGAACAAATAAAATCAGACAGAGAGGGAGAGAGAGAGAGAGAGAGAGAGCGAGGGAGCGACTGAGAGAGATCGGAGAAGAAGGACGAAGAAGAAGAAGATCGAAGAACGAAGAAGAGCAGCGTACCTTAACGAGTGACGACGAGACGAGGAGCGACGAGGAGCGACGAGCGACGAGCTACGGACGACGAGCAACGAGCTACGACGAGCGACCACTGAGAAGTGACCAGGTCCTCTCTTTCTCCCCCTTTCTCTTCTGTTCTAATCGAATTAAGCAGACATTGCTCTATTTTTGTTTTTTTACAAATCGACCCTAAAAAAAGTTTTGTAAATTATGAAATTACCTCCGAACGTGTCCCAAAGTGTCCAAACATATCCAGAACGTGTCCAGATGTAAAAAATTTAAAAAAAAAAGGGGACACTCTCTGTTGCGTGTCCGACACGTGTCCACCGCGTGTCTGTGTCCGACACTGGTACGGAGCCCTCGGAGAGCTGTCTGTGCTTCATAGCTCTTAGTATTTTGTAACAGGCTCTGATCCAATAAAGTGAAAATCACCTCTGGACAACTACTCGAACAGTGGTCACAAGCTCACTGCAATAAGTATAATTACAATAAAAGAAAAAATTACAATTGAGAATGTGTTTGTCAAATGGGATTGCCAAAACTAAGTACTAACATGCATGTATGTATATATATACATATATATAATCAGGGTCAATTTTTTGGAAAACAAAATGTAGCTATCCCCCTAGAATTGTAATAAAAAAGAAATAAACTAATTGTCAATGTTAAAATGAAAAAGAAACTTAAGATCCCATTGCCTATAAAATTTATTGCGTGAAATTGAGCATAAACTGTTGATTATTTATTGAATTTGTTTTGAAATTGTTTATGGAATTCAACTAAAACCTAGGAAAATTGTTAATATTATTTTTTTTAATGAATTTGTTCTGAAAATTTTAATTATTGATGGAATTAAGCTGAAATTGTTGGGCAATTTGGTGAAACTAAGTGAAAATTGATATACAATTATTGGGGAAATTACAAGGTTTGAGCCTTGTAACAAAATAATTTTTTAATTTTTTCAATTTAAACTATAAACTTTGAATTGTTTTCAATCTAAACCATTTGCCTATTTTCGTTAAGTAAAGTCAATATTTTAGCCATTAAACTCAATGAAAAGGATATTTTAGACATTTTATGTATATGTATATTGAGTTTATTGACTAAAATACTATTTTTCCGTCAGTTTTATTTAACAAAAATAAGCAAATGATTTAGATTGAAAACAAATCTTAGGGTTTAAATTGACAAAATTGAAAATTTAGGGTTTATTTTGTTTCAAGGCTAAAACCTTGGGTTTTTTTTGTTTTTTTGTAATTGTCGTAAAATTATTTGATTAGTTGATGAGTCTATGTTGCAACTATCTTAGTACAATGAGTTGGAATTTAGTTGTAATCAAGTGAAATTCTTGTGTTTGATGAATTTAGGTTGAAATGGAATTATTTATTGAAGGAATAGCATCAATGTTATAAAGTTTTTATTTTTTGGGTACATGTAATTTGAAAAGCTTGCATTAATTTTCTTGATTTTGTTGAAAATATATGATATTTTAATGGTGTTAAAGTTGATGTTGATATGTTCTACATAACTAAAAATTTGATATTTATAATTATTTATGGAATGGCCCCACTTCATACAAAATTATAGTTTTATTGGTGCTTATTATTCTGTCTCCTTTCCAGCTTGATCTTCGAGTGAATCATACGCTAATAAAGGACCAGTTTTTGTGGGTAAGTTTGATTAGAGAGTTAAGTATTCGTAGGTTTGGAAATAGGATTGTCCATGTTTAATACTGATATGTCTGATGCTTTTGGATTTTGCATGTTCTACAGTTGTTGGGGGTATAACACATTTTGAATTAAATTGATTGCCAGGACTTGAACAACTTTGCGAGTGATCCAGAAGAATTTGCAAGAACCTTCTGCAGAGATTTGGGTATTGAAGACCCAGAAGTCGGAGTAAGTAAAGCAAATTAACCATATCATTCGTAGACAATCAAACTGTTTTTGTTGACCCAATGTCTTCTTTTTACCTGTTTATATTTGTGCTTCAACGTAGTTGTTTGTGTGCCAACAACCCCCTTGGCCAAAAAGAACATGGTAGAAACAAAAAACAAAAAAGACAAAACCCACAGTTTCTGTGTTGTTACTTAACAGTTAACATCAATCGAGCCAGGTTGATTTGGGCTGTGTGTGTCTCAAGCTCATCTTGAGCAAATTTTCCTGAGTTCAGCTCATCCCATGTGAACCTCATTATCCTTAGTCTAAGCTTGACCCATTTCACAAAAAGGGAGTCGGAATGCATTCCTTTACAATTTCTCTTAAAATATTGGTGTATAAAACAAAATTTAAAATCCTGATGTAGGGCACAAGGTTTGAAGCCCAGACTTCATCATTGTAGTTTAACTTTGGAAGCAAGTACTCAACCACCAAACCTATAATTATTTAGAGAAATGACAAAATTTAGGATTTTCTTGTCTTAGTGGCTTTTCTTTTATTTCTTTGGGATCATATGTTTGAGTGGTAATGTCACGCCCCAAACCTGCCCCTAAAAGTTTGGACATGACCCGTTTGAAAACGAACACTTAACCTGTAGTAAATAACATCTGGGGCCTCATCGGAAGCATAAAGTAAGAAAATAACTATACATATAAATTCCATTGAGCTACATCTACATGCCAGGACCTCTTATACATCACATTCATCATGGAGAATAGATAAAGCTCCAAACCATATGTTGTAGCATCGGTGATAAACAACCATATGTACTGACCCAGCCCCATCATTGGGCTTATATAAAAATCATTGAAGTTCTACCTCTTTAACTTTAAATGGGTAATCAAAATTAAGCCAACATTTCAATAGACTTTACAAAAATAAATGGCTTCGTGCAGTGCCTGAACCCACGAAGGTTGACAAAAGAAACCGGGTGTCATGACTAGGACTGACCACTTGGTTGGTTACCTATAGAAACATACATTAGACAGAGTGAGCCAAGCTCAGTGAATAGTAATACATAAATAAAACGATGCTTAAATTGAAACATAACACATAGCAATGCATATAAAGATGTAGAGTTCACATAGTTAGTCTGATTCTGTGCTACGTACATAACGGCCTTAAGTTCAATCTTGCAACATAAACATGGTGGCTATAAGCCCTTGAAACATGGTGGCCCGAGGCCCTTGAAACATGGTGGCTATAAGTCCTTGAAACTTGTGGCACTAAGGCCCTTGAAGCATGTGGCATAAAGCCCTTGTAACATATGGCACTAAGGCCCTTGAAACATATGGCATGAAGCCCTTGTAACATATGGCACTAAGGCCCTTGAAACATATGGCATAAAGCCCTTGTAAAGTTGGCATGAAGCCTTTGGACATGCATATAGAAGCCTTTGGACATGCATATATGAACCCAAGAGGTGTCTCACACGGACTCTAGAGGTAACTCACAATGTAGCACTTAGTTCCAAGTAGCACTTTCTTCCATACCAATAATCATTAGGTCTTACAAACCAAACCATACATGTAATGTCATACCCCAGAAATAAATTCATACATATGCATTATGCTTGAATCATAAATAGAAATCAGAATTCATACTTGCTTATACTTGGCACTAGAACAGCCTTAAGTTCAATCTTGCAACATAAACATGGTGGCTATATGCTCTTGAAACTTGTGGCACTAAGGCCCTTGAAACATATGGCATAAAGCCCTTGTAAAGTTGGCATGAAGCCCTTGAAAAGTTGGCATGAAGCCTTTGGACATGCATATATGAACCCAAGAGGTGTCTCACACGGACTCTAGAGGTAACTCACAATGTAGCACTTAGTTCCGTGTAGCACTTTGTTTCATTTCATAACAACTTATACGGATGGCTATAAGCCTCATAATTTTCACATATGTATGGACTCAAGAGGTGTCTCACATGGACTCTAGCGGTGGCTCACAATGTAGCACTTAGTTCCAAGTAGCACTTTGTTCCATACCAATAATCATTAGGTCTTACAGACCAAACCATACATGTAATATCATACCCCGGAAATAAATTTATACATATGCATTATGCTTGAATCATAAATAGAAATCAGAATTCATACTTGCTTATACTTGGCACTGTAATAGTGCTAGCAAATCAATAATAAGTATTTTTTTTGTTCGTTCCATAAAGGACCCAACATTGTGAACTTGTAGCATACTTGAACATGTTCATACATAAACTGGTAACATACGTAAACTTGTGACAGACTTAAACTTGTAACATATACTTGAAACATACCTGAACATACTTGAACTTGTAACATACTGGAAACATGCCTGAAACATACTTGAACATCATTCATTAATTCAAACGGAACATATCATAACTAGAGCATTTCTTGTTGTATCGTGTCATTATCGTACGCTTAACAATGAGAGACTAATTCACATTCTCATGAGGGTCACATAATGATGCCAAACTTTGCACTTATATCGTAGATTCTGGATCACTTCCAATTCATAAGCAATATAACAAATTAACTTCAATTCATCTGGATACATGTAGCTACTCTTATATTTACTCAGAATCCATTATTCGAGAATGAACATAAATTCTTTTGGGTAAATGACTTACTTTACGTGCTCTCTTATCAATAGCATACACCTTTGTTTAATCATTCTTATATGTTAACATAGTTGCCTTGCCTTGCCTTGTAATTAACATAGTCCTAATGGTAACTGTTACATCATTCCCATGAGTTGACATAATTAACGTAAAGTTAACAGGACATTCCTGATAATTAGTAACGAAAAGTAAGTACATTCTCATTAGATTATAGATGACTTTATTGGTTTCACAATTTCACAATTCGGCCCTTGGCCTGAGGGGTTCACACATTCACAAGTTCCTTTGATGTTTTCATAATTCCATAATGTTTCTCACATAACATACATAACTTCATAAACTCTTTTGAAGTTTCCATAATATCACAGTGTTTCTCACATAGCATTCACAACATTTATGTCAACATAATTCTTACGACGAAGATTTAACATCAATAACGACAAATGGTTAAAGGTACATCAAAGTACCACTACTCACAGTGATCGGTTCTCGATGGTAATGGTACAATGTCCTCGTCTCGACCTACAATTACAGTGCACAACACATAATATGAGGTTATACTCGATCCTTTACTTATTCTCTTTGATCGTTCAATCAATTAGTCATGGTGGTACCAAGCTCATTATTCTTTAATATGTTGTAATCCATGTCTTAGAAAACAGGAGAAATCGATAGGAAATGGTTTAGGTGAAGAAATGGTACAAAACTGG